TTGCTGATTGTCCCTCTCATGTTGTGGTGTGGAATAACATAGCGCAGACCACGCTCCAATACAGGGCATAAATAAAAAATGTCTGCATCATACCTGCGACACACTGCTGCGGGAGGATAACCAGCCCTTAAGTCTACCGTGAATGCAGCACACAAGAGACATTACATGTTGAAATGAGGGGCATCATCAAAGTGTTTGTTTTCAGATAGAGCAATGTTAAACTGATGTCACAATAAAGGCTGGCTTATTGTTTTCTTTACCGCCTTGTTCTTATGATTATTTCAGGCTAACACTGAAGTGCTAACCCAATTTCCTCCGGTTAATGCGCTTTTACTTGCAAAGAAGACACAGAAACGTACTGGAAAAACGTTAACATGTACATTTAATGTAATATTTTTGAACAACACAATTATGATACATGATGATGTTTCCATAGAAACGGACGAATGCTGCTGATCATCAAAGGACATTACTTCACCTACTGGTGCCAGTTACAGCATGGCTTAGTGTGAGAAACCGGTGGGATATGAACCACATCATTAAATTTAAAAAACAAGCTCAGGTATGGACAGCTAAGATGGCTATAGGGTTTCTTCTGACCTGCAACAATTTCTAAGCTACTTGATTGCATTTAGAGGGCGGCAGGTAAATGTGTGACTGTTTTTAAAAAGATAGAGTGAGAGCAGGCGGATTGGAGATCTGTTTCACACAGCATTTAAAGGAAAAATCCAGTGGTGTTTAGAATACAAACGTTTGAGAGTACTTTAAATGTGAAATTATTACATACTGTAAAAGAAATAATCTGGTGAATTTCAATGGTGAAGTCCTCTGGAAATCTTCAATAATTGTTGTTGATTGCAGATGTGTCTAGTAGTTCCCATTGATTTAGCTTGTAAAGCGGGGAGAATGGCGCTAGGCTAACCGCACCGTGACATCACTGCTGGAAGATGGCAGGAGGGAGGGGTTATGATATTTGGGCAAAAATGGCCGCTCCCAGACTCAGTGATCATGATGAAGATAATATCTTCATTTTCAATGCTAAATTCTCTAAATCACAGCGAACATATTAGTTTTAGGCATAGCTAATGATCTATTGATCACTCCTTGCTGACCGGACTTTTCCTTTAAGTTACGACACAGTGCCTCATTTGATAACTTTGTCTGCATTAATTCAATCTGCTGGGTTTCTTTTATAAGATAACTTAATTCAGCCATTCACCAAAACACTTTAAGTTGACTTAAAAAAATTAATTGCCTCAAAAAGGTCATTTTTTAAAAAGTTTTTAGCCATAAGTTTGCCCTGCTTAGCTGACTAACCTGTGCGACACATGCTAATGTACACAACTTCCTTTTAGTTTTCATCCATAATCTGTTTGTTTCTGTTGCCAAATGGAGACCTGTAGTATTTGTAGAAGGCTGGATCTGAATACAGTAAATTGTAGCTTCTAGCTTCTATTCCTTCACCTCTAATCAGGTCAACAGTGAGAACTCTATCATGACTAAAAAAGGGAACTCCAGACCAGGGCATGTGAACAGAAGGCCTCTGATTGGTCAAATCTACATCTGCTCTACACTATGCGTATTTCCTGTTTGGCACCTTACTGGCTTGTTTTGTTTGTATGACCGCCATTGTGGAAAACGACTGGAGAAGAT